TATTAAAAATCGCCCTGAAATTAGTTTGCACACGTAAGTACACAAATCGGCTATTTTACTTGAACTTTATAAGATTATATGTAATAAAAAGCCACGAGCAGCTATTTTTCGCTATAAAGCAGCAAACTATAAACGTTTTTTTCCCCAATATATCATTAATTTCTTTATTTCTGCCGATTTCATACAAACTGATCGTCGGCTAGGGTTGGGGTAGTACATAGTCACGGTATCGATATATTTTGCCAGAATTCGTAAGAATGGAAGGAAATAATGAATCTTGAGAGTTCAATTCAGAAAGTTATAGGTAATGTGCCAAAGTTACCAAGTTATTTTTGTATATACCTGTTTAATAATTTAAATATTTTTTTTACTCTCTCTCTCTGGTCGGTCCTTCATGTCTGAAGATCGTGGTCATGGTGGGTAAGTCTGGCACGGACAAATTGTCTCCATCGGCTTCTATCAGTAGCCATGCTGACTACATTGTAGAACTTTGGCGTTCCCTCATCCCTCAACTGGTCAGACCATCTAGTCGGTGAGCGGCCTCTGGATCTTTTGCCTTCCGTATTTCCAACAATGATTAATTTTTCGAGGCTGTCGTCTCCGCGTCTCATTATGTGGCCAAAGTAGCTCAACACACGTTGATAGCACGTTGCCGAGAGACGCTCCTTTATTTTGAGTTGGGAGAGGATCGACACATTTGTGCGTTTGGCAGTCCAAGGAATTCTCAGCATCCGCCTCCAGCACCACATTTCGAATGCATCAATCCTTTGTCTCTCTCTTGCTTTGATGTTCCATGTTTCCACGCCGTATAAGAATATCGGAAAAATCAATGCTCTGACTAGGCGCATTTTAGTTCGATTTGTGATGCCTCTATTTTTCCACAGACCGTTTAGGCGGGTCATAGCGTCTTTAGCCATAGCGATACGTCTCCTTATTTCTGGTTCGCAGCTGCCATCGTTGGATATCTGGGATCCTAAATAGATGTAATTTTGGACGACGTCTACACCAATGCTATCGATATTGTTTAGCTTTTGAGCACGATCTACTATCATCAGTTTTGTTTTGCTCTTATTAATAGCTAGGCCCAACGCTAAGCTCTCAGTTTCTGTATAAGCTCACGCATATATTTTTTTTACAGATAACCAAAAATGAAGTTAAAAGAAGGAAATGACTTGATATTATTGGCACCGAAAATATAAATCCACGTCATGGACAAATATTGACATTGCTCCCTGTATTTTGGTGTCGAGTGTTATTATAACAGAACTCTGGATAAGTTATGCTAACGTGAAGAAGCCTTGCCTTGCCAACCCCTTTTTGGTAAAACCTAAGGAAAATGATAGATCTGTTTTGACTGAACAGCAACAGGAACAAAGTGGAAGGAAAAGGAAAATTTCTGGAATAGCACAAGAAATTTTGTTATGAATAGTTATGATAAATTATTATTTTTGGCTTTTGTTTGATTATTATTATTATAAATTTTTACCCTACAACTTGTTTTTCTTTTTAACAATTCATTTACTACACACAAAAAGCAGTTAAGTATTATGAAAATTCACAACAACATAAGCATAATACAGTAGTAAGGTACCTACACAAAAAATATCAACAGCGTAGGCATAATGCCCGTCAAAACCATCATCATCTTCCTACCCTTTTTCCAACTAGGCAGTAGACAGTTACCGACTATCGATATCGATTTTTGGGTCCAAAATGATTACAACCCTACAAAAATTCGCCATTTTGTGAGTCCAACATTGTTTAGGTATTCACGCACATTCAGAGGGTACAGCCAGTCCATAGGTTTGTAATGTCTTTGGCAAATTCAGTGTTATCGATAGTAGTAGGTACTATCGATAGTTTTGCAACACTACATCAAACGTCCAACTGACATGACAGAAGCAAGCAAGGGTGAAGCAAAGAGTAGGTAACTTTTATTGGGGAGGAAGTTCGTTATAGGCGTCTCGAAAGAGTTTCATTTAATTTTTTGCACAGTATGCATATCACAAAGGTCAAATTAAGGTTATTTAGATTTTTGCAAAAATAAAAGTGATCTTTAACTTTTTAGAACTAAAAACATGAAAATACTATAAAAGACCAAAATATCTCCAAATGGATTTCTTATTTTACGTCTTCGAGTTAAGCTTTACATGCCTGCGCGTTTGGGGTGAGAGAATGTGTGTTTGTTTGTGTGTGCAAACCTATGTTACCAAATATCTACCAAACCACTAGTCCGATGTGTGTTTGTTTGTGTGTGCAAACCTATGTTACCAAATATCTACCAAACCACTAGTCCGATTTTGATACGGTTTTCAGTGATGGATTAGGATTTTTTGGTGCATGTTCTTAGATAGGTATTACGCGAATAACTCACCAGGGGGCGGTGCAATGAGCATTTGTTTGTGCCAATCAATGTTCCCATTTATCTCCAAAACCACTAGTCCGATCATAATGCGGTTTTCAGTATTGGGTACGATTTTGATTGTTGGATGTTCTTAGGTTTTACGCTTCCTACTCACCAGGGGGCACTGCAGGAAACTGTCGTGGGTATTTTCAAAGTTTAAATTTTGTTTTCACTTGTTCTAGGTTGGTGCACCTACATCTTACTAGAAGAGGCACGCCGAAGGACGAGCGAGGAACGAATAGAAGAAAAAACAATGCATAATAGTGTAAAAGTCACGTTTGTATGCTCTTATGGGGAAGGGGCTGTCTGTCTGTCTGTATGTCGCGCCCTCATATCTTCGTCAGTTTTAGAGCTATCGACATGAAATTTGGTGAGAAGATAGATCGTGTTGACCCAAATATAGAAATGTTAAGAAAAAAATATTTTAAATGTTTTTTGGACCCCCTCCCATACAAGTGAAAGCGGGGCAAAAGTTTTTTTTTCTTCTGTAATATTGAGTAGGGTATCGTTAAATAGGTCTTTTAAAACTAAGGTGAGACAAAGTCACTAAAATGTTTCTGTCACGAGATATTTGCTTTTAAAAAGGGCGTTTTGACCCATAATTTGTTCCAGCTGTAACTTCTAAAGTATAAACGCTAAAAATTTGAAATAAATATGGAATATAGCTTACAATCTGAAGTTACAATGAAAACTATAACGGATATTGTACCCTTAAAGGTTCCAGAAAAAATTGAGTTTTTCTATTTGCGGTTGGTCATCATACTGCTGCTAACAAACCAGCAACAAAATTAAGTTTGCAATGCTGAAAAACCTGATATTTAAACGTTAACTACGAAACCCTATTTGTGGACGTGTCTGACACGCTCTTGGCCGGTTATTTTTTTCATATTTCGACCCATGTTCCTTGAAGAAAGTTGTTTAGTTTCATGAGTACCTTGACATCCTTTCGGCTTGTTATATCCTTTTTGTTACTCCTTGTATTATTAAAACTATCTTAAATAATCTTGTATTGAATTTATACTTTTTCATCCCCTCTATTCAAAAAACTACGCTTTGGTTGCACTAAAATTGGATTAAAATAGGTATTTAATCCCAAGGGATCAAAAATCATTTGAATTTGGAACACAAATATTTGCAGCCAATCAATCGAAAATTTACTACAGATGGGTTTTTTCTCTGCAACACTACCTGTTATCTGCTATTTTATTGAGTATTTTACACCTAGTATGTTGCTCATAAAAGACCTAATTCCTAGCAAAATTTTAAATTAGAAAGTAATATGTCAAATTTTATTTTTCTTTTGGCGCGATAACTGGCCAGAAAGGGCAATAATATGAAATGAAATGAGTGATGATGTTTTTGTAAATACCTACTGGATGTTTATAACGCAATTTATAAGATTATTGTAAAATAATGGACAATAGCAAGCAATATTTAAAATAATAATAATATATCACTTTATTCCCTTGTTATAAAAACTACTATTTTATAACAAGGGAATAAAGTGATATATTTAGGGCGAGGGCGCTATTTTAAATCATGAGCGGAACGAGGGATTCTAGAGTAAAATCCCGAGCGTAGCGAGGGATTTTAAAGTAGAATCGTGAGTGAAGCGAGGGATTCAATGTAAGTCGCCCGAGTATAAATAACTTTATACCCGTGTTATACATACTACTTTTCATCCCCCTCTATAATAATCATAATCATAATAATAATCATAACGTTTATTAGCTTTCATGTGGTGAAATACAGTTGTTACTTAAAGTATAGGTAAATTGAACACACACGAAACCCTGTAAGGGCACTGCTAAGTAACTACTAAGTAGTTTACAATAAATAAGGTACAGTAGGTAGATATTCATTATTTACAATACAGTTATATAAACTTAAATTATAATTTAAACAAAAAATATTCATGACATGTTACCTAACTAAATCTACTACATTACTTTAGCCAAAACTCTTGTATGGTATAAAAACAATTTTCTATTAAATGTTTGAAAAACAATAAATACTTATACTTAATCTACGAAGCATTTTGATATGAAGCTCACATATCACATGAAGATTTTTCAAAAATTTGCTCTGCAACTCATAACACGACTGGAGTGCAATTTTTCGTTTGTATGACGTAACGATTCACCTTAAAAACAAAAATTGCAATTAGAAGCTGCGCATAAAGCAGAACCTGGCTCCGGGTGTTCTACATCAGATAATCCGGTACTCGATGACTACAGGCCATAAGAACTATCGGACGGTCTATCATGCTTAACCACTGTTGTTACCTATGACCGGAGCCCTTTCTTAATTACAAAGTGGGCTCTTGGCGTTCCATATAAAGAACGTCTCTCTCTCTCTCTTCGGGGACACCGAGTCTTTCAACGACCCGATCAACCCTGGTGTCAGAGTTTTTCAACCACCTACTGTAGGTAGCAGGCCTCTGACATGGTTGTGTAACGACCTCCATCGTACACAGCAACGTGCCCACGGCTTAACGTGCCCATCCGAAGCACGGAACCATCTTACTTTTCGGACAATCAGGTGGTTCAGCCTGCAATGTCCTAACCAGACTGGGAACACATTCACAAATTGTGAGTGATCTCACCGGGAATTGAACCCGGAACCTTCTGCGTTGCAGGCAGTCATACTAACCACAGCGTCACATCATGTGAACGTCAGGCAAGATAGCACATGTATATGTTCAGATTTTAATGAGACATATACTGAAAAATAGTACCTAATTAGTACCAAATAGTACCGATGAAATAAAAAATTGTACCCCAATACTTTGGCAGTAATATTAAAATTCTGGTACACCGGCGGTTGTGACGTCAGGATGACGGATGTTTTGTTATATCTCATTAATCGCTACAACTATCATTCTAAAACCTACACCAATAAATAGAACCCCCTGAAACAGGGAATAAGTTACAGAAATATCAAAGGGTTTTCAAGACAAATTGTTTTTGTTTCGGACGGATTGCCTTTTCTTAACTGAACTAGATACAAACCTGTCCCTTTGCCTGTTTAAACGTGTAAGACTATTTTTATGATCACTCAGAAGGAAGAAGTGTCGTGTATAAGCGGAGGAATCATGCGAGAGAAGACCCGCGGACTCTTGGACCCACACTAAAAACCCACACTAGTGGGGGGAATCGAAGTACCGGAAAAGAGGTACAATTTTTTATTTTATAGGTACTATTTTTCAGTACATGTCTCATTCAAATCAAAACTGAACATATACTTGTGCCCCGTTATTCCCAACGGCCCCCAAATCTCTAAAAGTTTGAATTTGGGGGCCGTTGAGAAGAAAAATTCCCAACGGGCCCCGTGGGGGCCGATTCGTGGGGGCCGTTGGGAATAACGGCATATGCCATCCTGATGTTCACCAATGTACTGGTGTTACACATAAGGTACTCCAAACCCTCGATGTCTATGTGGCAAGAGCAGCAGCCCATCACGCTGAATAACTTGTTATGAAGATATTTTCGTACCTGTTGTAACCTCAACCTCGCATCTATGATTATGTCAATGTCTTGTCACTCTAATACTTATGAAACTACGTTAATTTATTGGAGACAATAGATCCAAATGAGGGGCACAATCGAAGAAACTCACCCGGCAGTAATACAGCCAGCTTTGAAAGAGCCGCCATGGCGCCCCATGGAAGATATCCTAAGGGGGGACGAATGTTGTAACCTCAACCTCTTTTGGAACGTCGCATCTATGATTATGTCAATCTCTTGTCACTCTAATACATCACATACAAGATGAATAGTAGTTTTTATAACAAGGGAATAAAGTGATATATTTAGGGCGAGGGCGCTATTTTGAATCATGAGCGGAACGAGGGATTAAAGTAGAATCGTGAGTGAAGCGAGGGATTCAATGTAAGTCGCCCGAGAGTAAATAACTTTATACCCGAGTGATACATACTACTTTTCATCCCCCTCTATGAGAAAAACAATAAATACTTACTTAATCTACGAATATTGCTTGCTATTGTCCATTATTTTACAATACATCATATAAATTGCGTTATAAACATCCAATACTTACAAAAACATTATCAATCATTTCATTTCATATTATTGCAATATAATTGGGAGGTTATATTATTGTTGCCCATTGCTGGCCAGTTATCGCGCCAAAAGAAAAATAAAATTTGACACATTACTTTTAATTTCAAATTTTGCTAGGAATTAGGTTTTTAAGAGCTACATACTAGGTGTAAAATACTCAATAAAATAACAGATAACAGGTAGTGTTGCATTATATTATCTGTGGTGTTGCAGAGAAAAAACCTATCTGTAGTAAATTTTCGATTGATTGGCTGCAAATATTTGTGTTCCAAATTCAAATGAATTTTAATCCCTTGGGATTAAATGACCTATTTTAATCCCACTTAAGTGCGACTAAAGCGTAGTTTTTTGAATAGAGGGGATGAAAACTATATTTAGTTCCTCTTATAGTTTAGCCGGGCTCCAGCTGGTGTTCCAAATGTCAATGTGCCGTAATAAGTGGCCCATCATGCGCAAGTGTCCCGGGTTCGATCCCCGGTAGACGCTTGAAATGTTATTAATTTCTTATTTTCATTTATGGAAAAATTTAGCACTGACCGTGAGTGAATTAAAATCACAATGTATTTATTTTTGTATAAAACTTTAATTTAATTTGTTCATTTTTAAATTCTTTTACATAGACTCTGCGCCACAAAAACGACGCACAGACTTAACTGATAAAATAAACATACGTATGGGCCAGTTAAAGTTGTAGCACATCACAAATTTACAATTTTTTTCTGTGGGATTTCTTTCCTGGCGTGAAAGCATGCAAAATTGATTTAACAATAAAACATGAATAGCAATGACAATATTAATATTATTATCATGATCTCATTGAAAATTAATAAAAATGTATGTATACAAAAAAACTGATAGAAATCTCGTAAAATGCATTGAATAACAGACCATAATATTTCACCAGTTGTTAATAACTCTATGATTTAGTTATTTAACTCTTCATAATGGTTTTTTACCAGTGTGCATTCTGGCTACATGTTGTTCTAGATTAAAACGCCTTGAAAACGTTTTTTTGCATGTCTCACACGTGTATGTCTTGTCCCTTGGAGGTTTTTCACCCATGTGCACCACTCTTACATGGTATTCGAGAGTATCAGGTCTTGACAGTTTTTTACCGCAAACATTACAATCGTAAGACTTTTTACTTGGAACTTTTTCACCTGTATGTACCTTTAAATGTAACCTAAGACCCTGACGATTTGCAAAATGTTTATCGCAAATGTCACAGTAATAAGGATTATCGGCCGTTTCGAAACTTATATTTTCACGTGTGTGTGTTTTGACATGACAAGCAAAACTAGAGCGGTCTGCGAAACGTTTATGGCATATTTTACAATCATAGACCCTTACATTTACATCTATATGCACCTTCATATGCATATTCAATAAATCCCTGTTTATAAATTCCTTATCACATGTACTGCATTTATACTTTTCATTCGAGTGTATTTTGTTATTCTCATTTTGTTTTGAACTTTGAGTAAGTTTTAAGTACAATTTGCAAGCTTGTGGAATGTCACTTTTATCTCCATTTTTATTTTGGGCAGTTCTTTTGTGTCTCAAGAGATTTTTTTTCAGACCGAACTTTTTATGGCATATCTCACACTCATAAGGTTTTTTACCGGTATGAACCCGCATGTGCTCCACTAAACTATAATTTTGTGAGAATTCTTTACCGCATATGTTGCAAGGTGCGGACTTTTCACCGGTGTGGATTCTCATATGCGTCCGTAACGTAGAACCACTTTTAAAGCTCTTATCGCAAAATTTACAACTATATGGCCGCTCACCTGTGTGTATTCGGATATGACATTTTAAATCGGATTTAGTCAAAAACGGTTTATCGCATATTTCACAAGCAAATGGTTTATCATCTTTGTGTGTTTTTACATGGGTTTTGAGCACGCCTTTTATTGAAAACTTTTTATGACACACCTTACAAGCATAAGGTTTTTCACCAGTGTGTTTTCTGAAATGAATAATTAACTGATTTTTCGATTCACAAATTTGGTGACACGTGTCACAGACAAAGCTTATTAAGGCCGAGTGCGCTTCTATGTGAGCCTTAAGACAGCGCGCTATGTCTGTTGTATACTTGCATTTCGGACAAGAATATAGGTTTGCTTGTACCTTATTTGTGATTATTACAGCATCACCATCAGTAGTTTTTGACGCAACTGCATCAGAAGTGTCTGTTTTTCGGTCGTTGCATTCGCCAGACAGAGGGGTGAGTTTTCTTTCTTTTCTTTGTTTCGGGGTTTTAGAATATGCGTTTGCAATCTTAGGAGGCTTCGGTAAGAGTGGCTCGGCGAAGACTGTTTCCGTTGTTTCCAAATATTCACTATTTTCGTTATTCAGCGAGAAGCCTATAACAAAAAAAACAACGCTCGATGAAGTATGTATAATTATAAATAACGTAATAAAATATCCGTAGTGAATGGTCATGCTCAAATCGAGGATTTTAAAGTGCGTAAGCTAGAAGACAGTTATTTAAAATCTGAACATATACGTGTGCCATCCTGACATTCACTTAAAAACCTTCCTATTTATCAGAAAAAACCGCATTGAAATCCGTTGCATGGTTTAGTGAGTTAATGAATTCCACTATACAGGGTTATTTTTTTATCACCCAGGAAAATTGGCAGGGTGATCTTTATCATGATTCTGAACAACTTTTACTATGGGGCCACACGCAAAATAAAAATAAAATTTTGGTTCTCTATACATTTTTGCCAAGTAGGTATGAATTTTTCAATGGAATATCCAAATTTTTGTTCACCCTGCAAATTTTCCTGGGTGATAAAAGAAATTCCTGGGTGGTATAGACAGACAGACAGGCAGGGAAACGAACATCATCATTTTATACTCAGACATCATTTTATACTCATACATACATATTGATAGAATGTGCTCCAATTTACTTACGCTTTTCATCCTGATTGTCAGTTGCTTTTTGTGTGTCAATCTGATCATCATCATCACTGTCAAAAGAATCGTCCATATTTTTTACATCAATACCATCCGTTTCTTTTTGTGTTTCATCCTTAATTTTATTGATATAACCATCTTCTTCTATATTTGTTTCATTTTGATCTATGTCATCAAATGTTTGATGTTGACCACTTTCGTCATTAGCTTTGTCAGGATTATTCATATTAATGTAAATATCTTGTTCCATATTCATTACATTTCTACTAGTATCATCTTCTTTGCTATCACTGCTGCTACTATCATCTGTGTTATCATTATCTAAATCATTATTTATTTCATTGTGGGCACTGTCATGCTCTATGGTGTCCATTTCTTCATCTTTAACATCATCAAGAGTATTTTTTTCTTCATTGACGTCTGATTCTTGGTTCGTCTCATTGTCCTCTTGTTTGATATCATTATTAAAATATTCTTGTTGTAATATTCCCTCATTTGATTGAATAACTATAAAAATAAAATGGTTATAAAATAACATAACATAATCTGTCTAAACAAATATTTGTTTATCACTTGCAAATTGCAGCTAACCTTATTTAGACACCATGTAAAGCTATAACTAACTTTATAGCAGTGGTAAAGTGATAACGACCATATTTTTTTA